CCTCTTCCTCTCTCTCCCAGGTAATGCACGAGGTCGTCTGTCCGCTGGTGGAAGCCGCTTTCCAAGCGGAGCCTGTTAACCCACTCGGGACACGGGGCCCAGTACACTCACCGTCTTCGGTCCCACATGTCGCACAGTGCGCGAGTGCGCTTTCAACGCATGTCGAGGATTTCGCAAGAATTTTGGCAACTCCGACCTTGAGTCAAATCTGCTGGTCGTAGGTAAATTCACCTCGAAGGAACGGAAAATCCTTCGGGACTCATGTGTGTCAAGGCCAGCCGGGAGAGATATCCATCCTTTTTGAATCGCGCCAATGGCTGCGAGAGATTGCATTTCAGTAAAATCTATATCGAAACAACTCCTGTCAATTAAAATCTTCATTTTTATCCGCGGTGATGTCACTCATAAATAAAGTTCCATCAGTGTTCTCCAAATGACGAAAAGTCAGGAGAGTATCTGAATAAAGTGCCTAGCAACAGAAGATATCTTCTCAAAGTCTGCGTTGTCCACGCTTTTTGTATGCTGCTTTTTTTCAAATAAAAGTTGATGTTTTGAAATACCGAAAGTAGCGTACAGTACGATTGGCGAAGAAAATATTGATCGTGTAGCCTACAATTTGCTTTGTCGAGAGCGAGGATGGTAATGTAATTTTCCATTCGAGTGGTCCAGATTCCGACGAGGCGGAACTAGCTGATCCAGGAAGATGAAGGGATGGTTCGATGCCTTTCGCAACGACGGCGGTCCGACGCTCTACAGTTACAGCAACCGCACTCCTGTCACCGGTGACGTTCCCTTGGTTATCGTATTCGTGATATTCGGCACCCTGTTCACGGCATTTCTAGTCATATTCCCGGGCGTCAGGAAAGAGGTGAGCAATTTTCTATTCCTCCGTCGTGCCTGATCGTGACCGACGATTTAAATTAATTACAAGTTCTGGCCGTGTAAACCTGGTTTTTCTTCCGCCGCAGCGGTTAACCACATTTCTCACGGTTACCCTGAGCCTCTTCGTGGGTGCGACGATTCAAGGTTCGTGCACTTTGTCTACTTTCCAAGTCAAGGGGCCTTGGCTGCCAATGGCGTAACTAACTGATTGGCCTCGCGAAGTTCGAATCGCGAGAGTTCGATGAGACCGATAAAAAAGCAGCGGCGGGAAAATAAAAGAAAAGGAAAAGATTAATCAAAAGTAAGCAAAAAAATAAGAATATTGAGTGGAACTCGTCTATATACTTTTGTTATATTGAATCATGTTATCTATATATTTCAATTTCCTCGTATTGTTTACCATTTTTAAACACGAGAGTTCAGAAAGGTAAAGAACAAATAAATAATTGGGAATAAAAAATATTTAGAGTTAATACATTAGTTACGCCACTGTCCGCTTGTAGTATTCGCAGTAAATCGCGTGTTTATCTGTAAAAACATTACTTCGACTGACCAATAAAATTGCGAAATCCATTTGTGGAATAATTAATCGAGATAATCAGAAATGTAACGCTGCGCGAACGTGCGGAAGAATAATTGCTGTGCTCTCTATGCGCGCGTAGTGGCGCAATACGGCTCATCCTGGCATACGAGCTCCGCTACCATTGTCAGCTCATACAGCGCTTTCTCCAAGCATAAGGCAACGGCCGACATAGGCGGTTACATCGGTTTAATGCACATCAATATAACATACAGGCGTAAGTAAAGAAAGCTAGATATTTAAACTTTTTACACGCTCGTCTACAATTGAAGATATCGAGCTATGACTGATTGAATGTAATAAGATAAGCTTGTGGAAATTAAGATTAAAATTATTGAGCTTAATTATTTCAAACAAAACAAGTCAAAATAACGTTCAAATAAATAGTTATTAATTAAATGACTTTTTTAATGATCTGTTTTGAAGCCAATTTAATATCATTTTGACGTTGAGATGACTTGTGCTTCTATACTTGCGATTGCACGTCGCAAATTGCAATTTTCGAACAGATGTTTATGCAACGATTCGTCCACTTACGTCAAGGAAATTTTATCGTTGCAGTATTGCCAAGTAACGAGCAGACGAGCGGTGACGTCGAGTACAATGAACGATTTTGGTGGCGGAGTTCTGGCGAAATGACCAGCGCCTTCAAGCAGGCCCTTCACCAGGGTGCGCCGTTCCCCATTGTTTCCTTGGCGGAATATTTCAGCCTCCATCAAGAGGGATTTTCTTGGGGTTCACGATATCGCGAAGCTGGATATTATGCTTCGATAATGTTATGGTATATTATTACTTCTGTGATGAAATACTTTCGTAGAAATCATTTTGAGAGTCATAATCTAGTATTTATAATCCGTTTTTATTACAAGATTATCATCTTAAATTATGTTTTAAGACGCGCGCTATAATACGGCTCTGTAATTTATGATATTCAAAACTACAATGTATTTAAAACGGTCTTAAATGTAAAAACTGATTATGTGAATACTCCATAGTCCATTCTTATTTTAAGATTATCTTAAATAATGACGTTTTTTAAGATATTAATGCAGTTCCGCGTGGCCAGTATTCATACAGTGCTTTCCAGCAAGTGACACAGTGAATCATTACATCCTCGCTTGTTGTTTGTTAATGTTAAACGAAGATAAAATATAATCACTGTGTTAAGCGCTGTGTTATGAGATTTTAAGACAAACCTTAAGTTTTAAGCACTAACCCGTAAGAAATTGACCAATCATAGTCAAGTATTCTCCTCACATTCGATTGTAATTGGTCAATTTCCTACGGTTTAGAGTTTAAAGCTTAAATTTTACGTCTTAAAATTTTATTGTAGACGCCGCTTTACACTGTGTCGTATTACACTGGAAAGTATCAATGGTCGATTTTTATTTAAAATTGTTTTAAGTATAATCTTAAGATAATCAATCAAAGAGCCATATTAGCACCTTAAGACATTTAAGACTCGATTATGAATGCGAGGTTTCCATTCATTGCGTGTACGCGAAATGAGGAATTTTTCTTGTGCAGGACCTCCTTTGCCTCGTGGTTAATGATGAATTTGTTACTTATGGTGGTACCACGATATGGAGCATACGGCATGATTTTCACGGGTTTATGCATGCTGTTAACAAACCTGATCTACACGACACTCTTACCATGTGAACCTCTGATAGCTCACATCGAGGGCTCGATCCTTTCTTTCAATCTCGGCTGGAATTATTGGTTGGTGTTATCAGCTGGTTCGTGTCTTTGCGTTGAAATTACTTTATTAAGACTCGATCAATGTGCAGATATACGTACGTGATTGCGATTTCTTTTCTTCACAGGTGCCGCGTGCCTCTTCGCGGGACTCGTAATAACAGCTATAGACATGATCTTCCCTCATCAATTCTCGACCATACTCGAGGTCGACTACGACACGCCGTATGACAGGCACGTCATTATAGAGGAGAGTTTCGATACGCGTAACGTTAGGCGGAAAGTCCCCAAGATTGAAGATTCGTTCGGTGATCGAATAATGAGGTTTGCGTTACAATAAGCTGAATTTAAGGGAGATTTGTATGATTAAATTGGAGGCGAAATTTGCAAATTTATTTCAAGAAACGGAATAAATTGTCACAGTGCCGTTTAGGGGTTCTTTATTACACGATATTTAAGACGTAAAAATTTAGTTTGTAATACAAAATTTATTAAAAATGTAGAAATTTTCTGTCACCGCGAAGACAGGCCTAAAAATTTCGAGTTTTGTCACAATTCCGTGGCTTCTAAGGAAACAATTTGCTATTTTTTTTATCTATGTTCTTTCCTTAGAATATTTTGCTTTACAGATTAAATCTAAATAGATAAGAAAATTGTATCATAGCATGATAAAAATATAAATGATTTCAGTTTTTACGCTGTTATGGTTATTTTTTATCATCTATTATAAGTTCAACCTGTAAAGCACAGTGTCCTATGAAAAACTAGACGAAAAAATAACAGATTACTTTCTCAGAATTTATAAAATTAGTCGTGATAAAACGCGAAGCACTGGAAACTTCCAGGCATATACGAGAGAATGGTAAGAAACTTTTATATCTTCAATAGTAATAGTTTTGTATTATGAATCAATTTTCTAATATTCAAATATAGTAGGGTGAATAACACTTAAACATAGAAATGTCCGTTTTAGTTTTTTCCTGAAATAAATTCGCAAATTTTTCTTCAAAATTTGAAATCTTCTATCTTCCTTTATAATTAAATTATTTTTTTTTTGCATTCTATAGTTCTAAAAATGTTTCAGTCAACTGTCATCTAAACTTCAAAATAGACATGCCGTTAAAGAGGACATCGAAGGTGTCATTAATCGGGGCTATACGTCGCACGAGTTGTCCGAATTCCCGCAAGAAATTGGTGATGAGTCCAGCAAGAGTAATTGGTCGTATCCATTCCCGCCAACCTCGCGTAGAACCATTAATGCCTAATATATTTTTCAAATGCTACGGACAATTACGATACTCATCGACTTTCTTAAACGCTATTATATATATAAAAATACTTAGATTCGTATTTTATTTTATGATTATTTAATATTATTTAATAAAAAAAAAGAGAATCGAAGACGTCTTTGACTTGAATCATATGCGGAAATTCCATTTTGAGAGCGTTTACACTATAATTACGAATGTAAAAAAAATTTCATAATAAAGTCAAAATAAATATATGTATATACATATAATGACGAAATTTCATTATAATTTATTATAATAACATTATAATAAATAATTTTATAATTAAATAAATTATAATGAAATTTTATAATAAATTATAATAAAATTGCAACTAAGTTTTTTGAGTGTTTAATTTGGGAAGATAAAAAGATAGGGAGAAAAAGATTTTCTTTTTTGAATTCATAAATAAGAAATATAATACTCATGAAAATAAATAGTAAAAAGCAACGCTTTAGCGTATAAATATGTACATTCTAAATATGTAAATCGTGGAGAAAGGTTGTCAAACACATTGACAGTCCGTTATCTCATGCAAACAGGGAGCAGTGTATTAGACTAGCCAAAGTTCTCGAAGTGATGAATGAAGTACGGCAATCGCCGTGTTTTATTAACTTCATCGCAAGCAGACATGACGCTTTTCGTCAGAGGACGCGGTCCACAGCTAAATACTCCTATTTTGCTAACCTGTAGATCAATAATATCATTCAGAATATTAAAAAAAAAATAATATCAATAATATTATAGCAGGCCGCGCAAAAGCACGAAGGACGTTTAACTCTTTATCTTTTTCAAACATCCCTTGAGCTTCTATGCGCCGAGCGAATGCATTCTTAATAAAAACTCATGAACATACATAGCTGTGTTTCTTTTGAACAAATTTCAAAAATGACGTCATATCCGGCCGACCAAAGTGATTGATGGCCTTCAGGCCAGTGAATATACTCCTCTTCGATAGCCTCTGAAAGTGATTCTCACATATGTACTACATATGTGAAGCCAAATGTTATTGATAATTAAATCCGATTGAATTAATTAAATATAAGGAGAAACTCTGCGTACTCTTTTTCATCGCGAATTATACAAAAATTTTAATATAAATTCACACACACACACACACACTTACCAGCATGGTGGTACGCAAATCAAACTTATGAAAGAATTGCGTTATAAATATGTGGATTTCTAGCACATCCGTAACGTCTTTTCTCTCAACATCTCTGAGAACGTCAATAAACCATTCGAAATGTTTATGCGATGGGCAGATCCATAAAAAATAGACCTACACAAAATAAAAAAAAAGTAACACGATATTATCGAATAAAAAAATGGAAGCATTTTCTTACTTTAATGAGCCGTTAAATTTAATGCAATGGATTATATATCCCAACAATATTCCATATTCACGTTTCTCTTTCGATAGTAAAACATACTTTCTAATAATGAAGCAATCGCCACTTTTGCATCAACTTTACCGTAATGATATTTTTAATATGAATATGTATTTTCGATTTCTAATATGAATATACATTTTTAGAAATATTTCTCAAATAATCAAATACAATTAAATTACTTCCTAATTTCGCCGATTATGAATTTCTTTATAGAATAAAAATAAATAAATTTTTTTTATCCACTTATTCTGATTAGAAAATTTTCTATAATTTATATTTTGTATAAAGAAAATAAATATATTTATGTAAAGATGTCTTATAAATTTTCCTCACTTGATTATTTTTTTTATTTAATTTTTACTTTGGTTTGCACTTACCTTCTTACACGCGACGCCTGAATATCTATTGGTGGAGGTTCCAAATACGAGATCATTGAGCATCGAGGCATAAGGAGTCACCCCGATGCCACCTCCAACCATCACCGCGACCTCGAACTTGTACCAATCCTGATTTCCTCCACCGAACGGACCCTCTATACGAATCTTCGGATGATCGTCCTCCGGGTTATAGTTGCAAGGATCGAAGTAATTACGGAGTTTCCACGTCCACGGCCCTTGAGCTTTTATGTGGCACGATAGAAAATTCTCATGCGGTGCGGAGGTCAGCGTGAAAGAATGAAATTCATTAGACCTGAAGGCAGTACAGGCGAGACGTACCCACTGACCCGAAAGGTACTTCAAGTTCGGAGGTCTGTAGAATTTGATCTTTATTACGTCGGAGGGTAGTAATTCCGTCTCGATGATGTCCAGGGCCATGTATTTAGTTCTCAAGCTGACGACCTGAAATCAGTACTCTGATAACACTCTTGATATTCGGCACTTGACGTTATTTTTATATTGCGTTAATAATTCACATCAAATCAGTTTGGCAACAAAAGACGATTTGCATTAAACGAAATGTGAGATAATACGTAACATACAAAATATGTTACATCATGCATGATCTCCATATATAATTAATAAGTTTTGTAATTATGTGTGACTACGGGTGTGATGCATATATACATGTACAAAAGGGAATTGTTCTTTTTCTTTGTCACTGTTCTATTTTCCGAAAAAGCAGATATAAAATTACTTTATCTAGCGCGTAAATGATTGCCGGGCCGATGAAGAATATCCAGAATCGCGGTTCGCCTGTCAAACGGGCTAAACCATGGATGAGGCATAATGCATATAGTACTACATAGAGACTATGCGTCGACCAAAAGAACTTGTAGGCTTTCTGTCGTATGGTTGGATGTGCGAAGACGAAAATAATCGTCATGATGACGAAGAGAAGAATACCGGTTAAACCTGCAACAAGAGCGAAATAAGGGGATCATGTCAACGTTCCAGATGTCCAATGAAATTGTGAAATCTTTGGCGAGAACACCTACCGGTCACTGTTCTGAACAGCCAAAAAGAGATAGTAGGCCGCGCGTCGCTGGGAAAGTTGATTTCACTGGTGAGGCAGCGAAGATGAGCTATCGGCTGCGTAGAAACGTGATAAAAGTTGACTATGTGACCGACCGTATGCAGCACGGAGAAAAAAAGTGCCGTACATGCTGCGATCTTATGGAATTGTATGTGCGAGTCTAGCGGGATGTACTGCTGAATCGAGAATTCCTTCAGCTTCGTCAACAGATTACGCGACATTGTTAATAGCAGGAGACTGTAGCAGAAGGACAGTGCGGCTGCTGATCCTCTGGTTATGGCGATTCCCACGCCCATTATATGTCTGAGATCCGTATGCTCTGCCATAAAAGAATAATCTGCGAAAAAAAGATAAGAGATCGAAATTTTGCAGCAAAACGAACAGAATGTTTTTTCTGGACAAATCATATATTCAAAAGAATTAGGAAAAATTACAATAATAATACAACATAATAATAGATTATTATATATAATATGATTATATAATATAATAAAATACATAATTATATATTCAAAGACGTCTAGAAAAATCGAAGTATATTTAGACATGTTTTGGATTTTTGTTCTACTTGAGATCGATTAAATACTCACGAATAAATCTCTCGACAAAGAGAGCTATGGTGACCACGTAAAACACAAAGAGGTAGAATATATTCTGCCTGTTCTCTTCGAGAAAAGTCGATATGGCATCCCACTGCTTTCGAGTCCAACTCTTCGAATCTTCCGGGGGTAGTTGATCGATGTGAAAGCTGGTCATGCGAGCAACATTCGTCGATGTGTCGAGAAAATTCTGCTTGGCACCTTTGCAATCGAGACCGATCGCGACGAAATCGCCTTTATATTCCTTCATCATCAATTTAAAATCGTTGTACGTGAGGTAGTCCTTCCTCTCGAGCCCAGCGTCCTGATTAATAAGGGATTTAGCAGTTATCGCGACGATGACAAAAGACATTTTAAAATAAATATCAGGCTACCATAATGAAGTGAAGATAATAAAAACGCACCTGGAACATGCCGTCGATCAATTCTGTGACGTGATCATCCGAGAGACTCGTGGTACGCGCTATTTCCACCAGCGACCTCAGCATCTCCGACAGTTCTTCCTTGTCGATCACGCCGTTGCTATCCTTATCGCACATGTCGAAGATGATACGCAGCTTGTCCTCGGTTTTGCCACGTGAGAACAGCAAGACCGTGTCCAAGAATTCCTGGAATTTGAATCACTCTTCGCTGGTGATCGTTAGACAAGATAAGAAAGTTATGTTCAGACAAAAAATGGTAAAAGCGCAGCTTCGATGAAGCGAGCGACAATTATACCTGGAAAGAAATCCGACCGTCGCCATCTTTGTCGACGATGTTGAACATTTTCTTCACGAAGACCGCGTCGGGCCGCATGCCGAGAGCACTCGCAAACTCGCTCTTGGAAAGCGATGTGCGCATCACCGTGACGACCTCTCCGGTGTCACTGTCTTCAGATCGCCGCCTTCGTTCGCCGGGCCGTAAACCGAAAGTCAACGCGTACGCTTCTCTGAAGAACTAACAACATTTCGCAGTATTATCGGGAATGTCATAATTCTTCCATGTATATAATTAATACTATAAATGTGTATGTAATGTAATAAGCGAAATTGCTCTCTTATTTTAAAAGTGATACAACTAAAAAAATTAAATTTTCCAGAAAATTAGATAACTATATTTCAATTTGACTGAACATTTTATTGACTAATATAGATTAAATAATATAGATGAAAAGAATATATTCACAACATAATCAAATGCGATTTTTATTTGACAAACCTTTAAAAAACCCCTTTCGAGTTGTAAAGATTTTGATTTTTTTATAAAGTTAAATTAATTCATTTTTTATAAAATGAGTACTTAATGTTTGCCTAACCCATTCATGGAAATAATTCACAAAAAAGCTCTTTTTGTGTCGCTCTTAAAGTAGGGGAGCGAAATAAATTATATGGAAACTATATATTTTCATATACAATTATACGTTCATATTTCTCTTTTCTTTATCAATTAAGGAATTATTTCTTCGTGAGATATTAATCCACGTTTCGATGGTGAACGGAGCTGCGTATACATTCATAAATGTATACCCGTGAGAAGGAGAGACAAACCTGTTCGAGCTTCTTTTGCCGACGTTCCTTGGTTTCCGCTTTTGCCAGCATAATATCCCTTGCGACTGGCGTGAGTGTGAAATGCTTTTTTTGTGACGCCAGAAACGCCTCCAATTTCGCAATGAACTTTCTACGCGAAGCCAACGAATCGAGTTCAAGGACAAGGTCGTAATCACGCGGTATACGTAACAGCACTAGGGCCTTACGATGTCCGGTTTCGCTCTCCT